TGTGAGGAAGTGTCAGGCGGGAGCCGTTGTTGTTGTTGTTGTAAACCGGGGGCCAACAATGCAGTTTGACCTTCAAGATTCTCCCTGATAAAAAACCGGGTGCGAACCCCGGGAAGGGCACTTCAATCGAAAAATGTGCACCGGACGGGGGGGATCAACAATAATTTTTCAGAAATGAAAGTTCAACTGTAGCAAAAACAGCAGCAACAACAACAACAACCACAATCATTTTACCCGAACGCGCTGTGTTCTCCCCAGTGCCAGGGTTTTCATACGACACCAGGCAATACCCCCACTTCGTGGGGGGGCATTACAAGCTCTACCAAATATCCAAACGACTCTTCGCGACCACCCAAACCCAGCTTCCCGCCCTATGACGTTGGGACACTTCACTTCGTGGCGTGCGGACGACCGTGGCTACTACACTGGCGTGGGGTACACACCCACAGAACTTGGTCACTTATTCGGGGCGCGCATGTGCCCAGCATGGTGCAATTGTGCCATACAATACATAATACAGAGAGACGAATGTGTCCCGCATGGTATTATTTGACAGGGATGATGGCCCTGGCAGGTGCGCAACCGTTGTCGCAGAAGTTCGAAAAAGTTGCTCGCAAAAGCCCGTTTGACAGAAATGTTTAAAAAGTGTTGGGTTTCCTACGAATCCGCAAGAGCGCGCGGGATGAGATTTTGACATTTTTTGTTGAAAAACCATTGGTTTTTTGATGTTTTTATGTTAAAATCGCTCCGAACACTAAGCTTTTGGAAGGATTTCGTCTTGCGCGCGCGAATGTCCACTTTACCTTATTTTTTTGCAAGGGATTCTTGAAATTTGATTATATTTGAACAAGAAATTTCATTTTATAGTGTTTTTTGCAAGGGAAAACGGACTACAACAAAACAACCGGATTTTGATCAACTCGAATTACCTGAGGCTTCCTCACGAAAGTGATGAAAACGTGGCTGCGGCCTAGGCGCGGCGGGGGGGGCGCGCACCAGGGGGCCCAACAATAATTATTCTTTAGAATTAATCATGTTCAACAACCACAGCAACAAAAACAACTCCATCACTTCAGAGGCCACCACACACACCATACCAAACCACACACACCCACACACACACACCACACCAAACCACACACACACACACCACACCACACCACACACACGCAGGCGGGCACACACCACACACACAGGCGGGCACACACACACACACATACGCACACACACACACACCACACCACACCACAACACACCACACCACACCACACCACACCACACCACACGGTCGCGGCCTCGCGCGCAGCGACGAGGCGGAGAAAGTCAGGTGCAGCAGCAAGGCCCCGCGCGTGCCGGCCTCCCAGGGGCAGCGCCACAGGCCACCTGGGCGTGGACGGCGGGGAGGCAAGGGAGGGCGACAACCACCGACAAGGGGGGGGGGTCCCGCACGGAAGGCGCAGTGGGCGACACGACGGGCGACAAGCCAAGCGGGCGAAGGACTCGCATGCACTCAGGGAGTTGGGAAGCAACTGCTGGGAGGTCTTCGTCGGAAAGGTTAAGGAGGCTTAAGCCCCATTGCGGGGTGGTTACGCCAGAAAAGGGCTCGGAGCAAGCGGGATTAAGCCGGATGAAGCGGGAGTAAGCCGGATTAAGCGGGATTAAGCGGGAGTAAGCCGGATTAAGCCGGACTTCGGACCAGGGCAAAATCAGAATTTAACCTCCCAGGAGTTGCATCCGAAAGGGAGGGGACGAGCTCCAGTCGAGAACGAGGGAGAGCAGAAGCAGGCGGGGATGGCAAAATGGCATGGAAGACTTTCGGCGCCTCGACTTGCGGCTCCCGTGGGGCCACGAGAGCTCGCGGAAGGAAGACCCCTTCTGAGGCGTCGCGGCGACGGAGCCCCCAGCTGGAACGGCAGGGGCCTCCCCTAGCCTGGGTGGCGTCACAGAGGATGCTGGTGGGAAGAGAGCGTGTGAAGAGTCTGAGCTGAGGGGCAGAGAAGGCGTGCGGGCCGAAGGTCATCTGATCATCCCCAGCATCATCCGCTGTGCCGGGGGCGTGCCTGATGACCCATTCGTGCCAGTGGGCGGTCGTGAAGCGTCGGGCGAAATCTATACATATCCACTGCTGCCTTGCCAGGCCCGTCCTGAACCCAGGAGCTGTGTATACGACCTCCTGGCCAAGGCAGGAGGGCGTGGCGTATACACCGCAGCTGGGTTCAAGATGGGCCCGGCCAGGGAGCAGTGGACATGTATAGATCTCGTCGCCCTAGTGCGGACGACGGGACTGGCGGCGTGTCATGCAAGGCGGCCACGCGGTTGGCCATAGCGGGGTGTGCGGCTGCCGAAGCCTGACGAAGCGGCCGTCCCAGCCGCCGCGCCTGCGAACAGCCCTCCGCTGGGGCGGCGGGGCGGAGGCGGGGCCCGAGGCACCATGAGATCGTGGCTGGGTCTTGGCCTGGGGGGCCGCGCGGAATCCCGCCGATTGGGTGCGGGGGCTGGGGAGCATTCGCTTCGGAGGATCACACATGGGTACGGCAAGAATGGGCAGAAAGACCGACAGCGCTTCCTGCTCCTAGAGAACAGGAATCGCCGCTGTCGGTGTCGCCGCGGACGTTTCGTCCGTTTGGAGACAAAAGGCTGCTGGCCCAACAGCGGCCGCGATTGGCTTTGGGACAACATTTGTTGGGCACTGTAGCCATTTGGGGAAACGAAAAATGGCATAAACATAAAAAACTCGGAGGTCCGCGCGAATCTCTTGGATCCGCACTGGACTCCCCCTCCCTGCCGCGCGGAGCGCGCCAGGGGCGGCGCCGGAGGCGCCGCCAGGGGGCCGCAGCGCCGATCGGACCTCCGAGTTGTTGTGTTTATGTCATTGTTCGTTCCCCTACCATTTTTTCCCTACCAGTTTCGGCCGTCCAAGTTAAAGTCGGGCGTGTCCCCCTACAGGGGGATTTTCGGCGATAACAGAAAAATGCACAGAAATACTCCCCGAATGAGCAAACATAGCCGAAAAATCGTCACCAGACTATTTTTACACTATCTTTGAATTTTCCCCCTGTCGAGGGACAGGCCCGACTTAAGTCCAAGTAACTGGCGCACGCGGCGGAGATGCCAGAGGGCTGCGGGTTGCCTGCGAGATGTCAGAAGGCCGGGGCTGGCTACCTTCGGGGATCTTCTGACCCGGGTCAATCCAGACCCGGGTCAGCAGGAAACCAAAAACTGCAATGCAGGAAAAAAAACCTACTACGCAGGTCTTCGCAAACCTGGGTCAGCCAATATGTGCGGCCGCCTCGCGGCCACAAGCGGCTCGCTAACCCGGGTCAGCCAGGGGGGGTCTTCGCAGGATCCTGCAGGATCCGATGCCGTGGCTGACCCCCGTTTGCATCGACCCCCGTCTCAAGGCTACCTCCCTTTTGGGCGCCCCCCAGCCTCGGGAGCGGGACCCGTATAGGGACCCCGGGGACCCTTGGAGAGCCTCGGGGACCACGACGATGACGATGACGATGACGATGACGATGACGACGACGATGACGACGACGACGACGATGACGATGACGATGACGATGGTCAATCATCGTCATCGTCGTCGTCATCATCAGGGCCAGCACCCGGGGGGAGAAGGAGACCCGTCGGCGTGGGGCCCGCTGCGGCTGGGATCGCGGCAGATGGCGGCATGGGCCGGCTGCCCAGCAGAGGCGCGCTTAGAGCTTGCGCCCTTGAGGAGCGCGCTCTCCCTGAAACGGGAGGCGCGCTGCCGTCGCTCGGGCGGGCCGGCGGTGGCGGGAGGTGGGGTCGGGCGGCCATTCGGCGCGCCGGGTGAGAGTGACTGGAGGCCTCCTGGATGGGGTCGGAGGGGATGGGGTCGAAAGATCGCGCCGCATCGCCGATGCATCGGCGATACCTCGCCGGCGCATCGGGCGACATCGGCGATGCATCGGCGACGCCAGCGTAGAGAAAATCGGGCTCCACATCGAGCCGCATCGCCGATGCATCGACGATACGGCGCGATCCTCCGACCCCATCTACTCGGACCCCACGTAGGAGGCCTAAAGAGAGACGCCCTCGTCAAGCGAGATGTTCGCAGACTCCGCACGCCGTCGAGGGGTGGCCTCCCGCGAGGGCGGTGCGCCCATGGCGCTGGCACCTCTGGGGGGCCAGGGCGACCTGGTCCTGTCATGCCACCCGGCGTTCCGGCGTGGCGGGGTTACCCGCGGCCGCACAAGGGCGCGGCGCCAGGGAGGCAGAGGCCGAGGTCGGAGGAAGCACCCCACGGGGGCGAGGAGGAGGAGGAGTAGAAGGAGGAGGAGGCGGAGGAGGAGGAGGCTGAGGAGGAGGAGGAAGAGGAGGAGGACGAAGAGGAGGAGGAGGAGGAAGAGGAGGAGGAGGAGGAGGAGGAGGAGGAGGAGGAGGAGAGAGGAGGAGGAGGAGGAGGAGGAGGAGGAGGAGGAGGAGGAGGAGGAGAGGTGGAGGAGGGAGGAGGGAGGAGGAGGAGCAGGAGGAAGAGGAGAAGGAGGAGACGAAGAGAAGGAGGAGGAGGAGGAGGAGGAGGCTGAGGAGGAGGAGGGGAAGAGGAGGAGGAGGAGGAGGGGAGGAGGAGGGTGAGGAGGAGTAGGGGGGGAGGCGGAGGAGAGGCGGAGGAGGAGGACGAGGAGGAGGAGGAGGAGGAGGAAGACGAGGAGGGAGGAGGAGGAGGAGGACGACGACGACGAAAAGGAGGAGGCTGAGGAGGAGGAGGAGGAGGAAGGGCGGAGGGGAGGAGAGGAGAGGAGAGGAGAGGAGAGGAGAGGAGAAGGAGAGGAGGAGGAGGCGGAGGTGGAGGAGCAGAAGGAGGAGGAGGCGGAGGAGGAGGAGGAGGAGGAGGAGGAGGAGGAGGAGGAGGATGAGGAACAGAGGAACAGACCGAGCGCACCCAGGTGCGAAGTTCGGGCGATGCCAAACGCATTCTAGCCCTGACAATGAGCGGCGCATGCAGCGGCAGGCGCAGCGGCAGCTGAAATTTCTTCCACGGCCATGCCGTGGGTAGCTGCGCGCAGGAATTTGGTGAGGCCATCGCGCCCAGCGTGGGCGCGAGTGAATTCTCCCTTGTCAATCTTGGCGAGGTTCTCTCGCCCTCTCTTGGTGATACCCGCGCAGGGTGCGGCAAGGTGGCGTGGGTCCTCGGTTGCCGTCTTTCCGCGCCCGCGGCAGAAGTACAGGCGGTACTTCTGCATGGGATGAAGCTTATGGCTGGCGTGCAGCTCGCGCCCAGCAATGGTGATGGTGCCCGGTACTGGCACTATCTGGTCACTGGCAGACGGCAGGGGCGGCTGGTGGGTGCACGGCGTGGCACAGGCCTGGCGTACTTTACACTTGTCAGTGGTGAGCCCGCACCGAGAGCAGAGGTACTTGCCCGCTCTGAGCTCAAAGGCGTGCTGGCTCGATTGCATGGCTGACTGCAGCTTGGTGAGGCGCGGGCCTTTGGCCTGCGAGGGTCGCTCCGCAACCCACGGGTCGACTGCGAGCGTGTCAGCTAGGGCTCGGCGCGCCCTCCTGCGGATGAGGGCGCGCCGGGCATCGTGCAGGTCTGTGGGAGGGGCCTGTCCTACAAGCGCTGCCTCGTAGGACTGTTGGGCCGCTACCCCTGCCCACGCATCGGCCGTCGCGTTGCCGATTGTGTGAAAGTATCGCACAGGGTCAGAGGCTAGGCCAGGTGACTCCTCGCAGTGTGAGGGCACCCAGATCGCAGAGAGCTGCCTAGTGCCACGTGCGCGAATTGCTTTGGCAATTCGCGCCCGCAAATCCTGATTGGCGCCATCGCAGGGGCGCAAGTGTCGATTCGACCGCCATCCGTCGTATAGCGGGAGGTGGTCTGTGATGAAACAGAGGTCGCCCTTCCAGCGTTCTAGGGCGAGCGCAAGAGCTAGCAGCTCAGCGCGGGGCACAGTCTGAAAGGGGCCCTCGAGGCCCGACATGATACCTCCCCAGGGGGCCCACTCCCCGAAGAGGCACTTCATAGCAGCACAGGCGGTCCCCACTCTTCGGCGTCGTGGGTCATCACTGTGCTGACCTCCGGAGCCGTCCCCGAAGAGAGCGAGGGTGCCGCCGCTGCTGACGCAGTCCTCCCAATCCCGCCCAACCCAGCTCCACCCGCCGCCCCCTCCCAATGAAGCAAAGAGCGGGTGCGTGTCAGCGCGCGCAGGCAAGCCGCGGAGCCAGCATGCGGGAGCAGCCTCTGCTCCAGCCAGGGCAGAGGGCATGAGGGCGTCAGAATCCGTGTAGTCCTCGTGGTCGCGGTTGCAGGGGCACAGCCAGACCCTGTGCATGAGCGTCTCGTCGGCCCCGCCGCCCCTCGGACAAGTTGGAATAGCGTTGTACCCCGCCTCGATGAGTCGGCTTCTGGGCCATTGCGCCCCCGCGACCACGCAGAGGTTGAGGGCCGCCTGGTCGTACTGACCCTTCCTCGTGAACTTCTCCATCTCGTTGGCAACAATGTGGACGTTTGGCCCCCCCGTTGCAAACCTTCTCCATGTGGATGATTGGCAGCGCCCCTCCAGAGGCTCCGCTCGAGGGGCAGGCAGAACTCGTGGACGAACTCCGCAACGTCCACGTCGTAGCGCTCGTCCTCCCAGTCGGCTTGTCCACTGTGAGGTAGCTGCCACTCCTGGATGTAGGTCTCGCCTGCCCACGGTGGTCGCGACCACTCCGTTGGCGTCGGGCAGGTCCAGCCTGCGTCCAGGAGGATGGCCTGGATGGCGGAGATGGGGCCCATGACCTTCCTCCACTTTTTGTTGCCGCGCTTGGTCGACTTGTCGTAGATCAGCTTTCACGCCTGCGTGACCCGCATGTGGTGTTCTGGGTACTGCATCCAGAAGTTGAGCCACTCGGCGATCGACTGGCGCCTGAGCTCGATGGCGGGGCCCTTCTTCCTCATGACGACGGCCAGGGCTGCGGAGAGGCAGCGGCCAGGGACCTTCCCCGCCGAGGCCTGGACGGCCTGGCGCCTCTAGTCGAGGATGGCCGCTGGGGCGAGGCCCATGATCTGGCGGCCGTAGGTCCCCTGCGGCCTGGAGCCTGTGTTCCACAAGCCCTTCGCGATCTTGGCGAGGGAGGCGTGCTTCCTGACCTCGGCGACGATGCGGTGAGTGCGCCTCATCGCAGTCCTGGCCCTCTTGGTTGCCTTGGCCACAACCCGTCTCTTGGCGCCGCCCACGTCGATGCCGAGGTCGACCGCGCTGTTGGCCACCTTGACGTAGTAGCCCTTCTGCTTGAGGCCGTCGTGCACTGCGTAGGCGATCGCCTGGCTGGAGGCGACGACGGTGGTCTTGGGGGAGACTCGGAGCCCCGCGCCCACCATGCCTGCGCACAGGTCGGCGCCAACCCCGATCAGATCCTTGATGACCTGCTTGGTCTGGCCCTCTGTTCTCGCGACCGTGTCGTCCACGAACGTCCACAGGCCCGCGTATGTGTGGTTGATGTGGGCCCTCTGCAGGATCGGCCCCAGGTAGACCTTGGCGAGCCTGCCGCCATTGCAGCTGCCCGCGACAATGGACCTCTCGGCATCTATGATGTCGCTGACCCAGCCGTGCATTCACAAGTACCTGGGCGCCAGGTAGAGCTGCACCTCCAGCGCCACGACGACCGGGGGGGAGTTCACCCCGATAGCGGCGTCGAAGAGGGGCGCGTAGCAGACCGAGTCGTAGAACTTCTCTACGTCCATCAGCAAGGTCGCGAAGGCAATGCCAAAGGTCGCCGCCGCCTCGTCAAGCAGCGCCCTGACCAGCGCTGCCCTTAAGTCGCTGGAGCCTTTGATGGCGGTGTCCCTGAACTCCCCGAGCTCCTTGGACCACTCGTCGGTGACGCTGGAGCGGACCTTGGCCCACGTCTTGGGGATGGTGGGGGGCATGCCCAAGATTCTCTCTCCACCCGCGGGCTTGGGGGCCATGGCCACAATGGTGGCGCAGAGCTGCTGCGGCCACAGTCCGTTGGCCTCCACCTGGTTGTAGATGTCGGCGAGCTCCTGGATCCCTTTCTCAGGGGGCCTCTGGATGTCGATGGGGCCGATGTTGTCGACTCCTCTCGCCTTCTTCGGGTTGGCGGTGCCCGCGATGGCTTGCATGTGCTGCGGCTCGATTGGCGAGAGAGGGTCCTCTTTCGCAAGCCGCATGGCCTTCTCGTAGGCGCTGATGATATGCTTGGCGTTGTAGCTGTCGGACGCCCAAATGGAGCGCCAGGTGTCGGCGGAGTGGCTCATAAGCGTGGATGGGTCGCCCACCGTCTTCTGGGGCTGCTTGCCCTCTAGGCGCGGCGCCTTGGGGTCAGCGACCATGCGGCGCAGCTTGCCTGGTGAATCCTTCCACGCCTGCTTCGCCCAGTCGAGGTATCGTTTTCGCGCTCTGCCTGCAGCTCTCGCCATGGCTTTGTGGGTCCACTCCATGGTGGCGACACTGATGCGGTGCAGATCAACCCCGTCGCAGTACTCGAGGGTAGCGAGCTGGGTCTTCCACTCTTCGATCTCCTGCGGGTCGGTTTTTCATCCGAAGTGCGTCTTGGAGAACTCAGGGTTCTCTGGGTCGTCCAACTTTTTCATGACTGTCTTGTGGGTGTGCTGGCGGGCTTTGGGGCCCTTGCCGTTGGTGGCCAGCGCGGCGTACCTCACTGCGAGGGTGCTGAGGTGCTGCCACCATGTGGCCTCGGGGTCCTTGAGGTGCGCTCTGCCAGGCGACGCCTTGATCGTCTGCTTGGTGGTCCTGTACTCTGCCCTGCCCTGGCACCTGGCCCTGCCCTCGACGGGGACCGCGTGCGTCTCCAGGAAGGCGAACTCCAGGGTCGCGATCCACTGCGCGTACTTCGAGTTGATGTTCTCCGCGAGGTTCGGCGCATGGTTGCGGAAGATGCGTCCTCTACCCTCCTTGGTGCCGACCTTTGCGCCATCGAACTTCGGGAAGTTGCTGACCTCGTCGGCGGCTTCGTCCCAGTTCTCCTGGGGGATGACGAAGGGGGTGGGGTCCTCCTTGACCGTCTCGCGGTTGGTGCACAGGGCATCGAACTCGTCGCGCAAGTGCTCTGGCAGCCTTTCCCTCCTGGTTCGCAACGCCTCCGCTCGAGCCTTGGACCTTTTGCTGCTCGGGTCCGCGACCTTCTTGGGTCTGGCTCGCGCGGGGAGGGCTTTGGGAACCTTTATGGCTTTGTACTGCCACGGCTCGGCGGTGCCCACCGCGATCTGAATGCCGCAGTGGGTCTTCCAGGGGACGTCGTAGATGGCCTCGATCCCGACGTGCGTGGCGATGTCCGCCGGCACGATCGCGTAGTCGCACACGGAGCCCGAGCCCTTGCCGCACGTCGCCTCGCAGCTCGGGTCAGTGAGGATGGTGCCGTTCCAGCGCGTAACCACGGCTTGTTGCCCCACCAGTGCGGCTCGTAGTTCAGTCGGCCAGGATGATCCACGGGTCCATGAGCATGTCCACGAAGGTGGAGATGGAGACCAAGATGTCACTGTTCGCGCCTTGGCCCCGTAGGCCAGGGCGCAGGCACGCCGCCACGACGACTATGTTGCCGCTCGTGGAGTGGAGGACTGTCGGCGTGAACCCCACGAACGGCTGCCTCTTGTGGCGCTTGACACAGTAGTCCCTGTAGCCCTCGAACGTGGTCGCCGCCGCGTCCCTGCGCGTGAGGACCCACTCGCCGCCATGGGCCCCCTTGTCCGATTTGTTGGTGGCCACTGCGGGCGTGGCCGACAGCTCCCAGCCGTCCATGGCGAGCTTGCCAATCTGCTCCGTGAGGCCGTTCGCGTCGACGTGCGTCTCCGCCAGCGCTATGAGGTGGTACTTGTAGCCTGCGTTGCGACAGAAGTTCGCGGCCTGCGGGCCCCAAGCCGTTATGTTGCCGAACAGGATCTGCGCTGCCTGCTCGGGCTTAGGGGCGGGTGCACCTGCCGCGGGGGACCCACTGGCGCGGTTCCCATGCCCCTTCAGCCGATGCGGCCGCTTGCGGCTACCCCAGCGACGGTGGGGCTCCTGCCGCTGCCGCTGGCACCGTGGTGGCGTCCTTGCCCATGCCCTTAGCTGCGAAGGCCAGCTCCCTGGCCCCGGCGGCGGTGGCGATGAGCTCGGCGGCGGCCTCGCGGTCCTCCACGGAGGGCTCGTCGGCGGCAGGGGCGGCTGCAGCGGGCCCAGGGGCCCCTCCAGGCTAGCGTGGCTCAGCAGGTGGGGCGGCAGAGCCTCCTGGCGTGCCAGGTTGTGCCTGTCCTCCAGGCGCGGCCGCTGGCTGCTGTTCCGCCGGTGATGCGGGAGCAGGCTCAGGAGGAGGTTGCTGAGCAACAGGTGCCTCCCCATTCGGCTTCTTTCGCTTCGCAGGGTTGGTGGTGGACTCCTTGGCTTGGCGTAGGAGCTCACGTACTTTTTCTTGGCCATTGTTGAGCTCGGCGAGGCGCCGGTCGAGCTCTTGCTTCCACTGTTCCATCTGGGCGCGGGCGCCCTCGTCGTAGATGGAGAGGTCGTCCCACATAGAGCTGTCGACCTTGAAGGCGTCCTGAGGCCCCACAGGTGGTGCTCCGCGTGCTGCTCCAGCAAGCTTGGCACTGTGGTCAGCTTGTGCCTTGGCGCATGCGTTCTGTGCCTGGACGAGGTCCACGGCGGCTTGCTCTTGTTTGTCCACGGCGTCGTCGTACCACTGCTTGGCGGCCTCGACGTCGTCGACCGACTGCTTGAACTTCTTCTCCCTGTCTGTGAGGACTGACAGCGCCGACTGTGCGGGCAGGCTGATGCTTGTCAGGCTGCTGGAGGGCGTCCTTGAGGTTGCCGACGAGTTCGGCGTGCTTGGTGTCGCTGAGGAACGTGCTGAGCGTGGCGAGGATGGCGTCCCTAGTCGGGGCGGCGGCCACTGGCTGCTCCTTCGATGGCGGTGGTTTGCTGACTCCTGCCCAAGCCCCTGTGGGCTGGCGGTTTTCGGCAGGTGATGGAGCCAGCTGCTTGCCACAGTAGAAGCACTCGGACTTCCCCTTCCATGTCCATCGGTATCGGCACTGCTTGCAGACTGTGCACTGGCTTGCGAACCTTGCTGGCGAGCCTCGTCCGCCTTCAGGGCGTGCACGTCGCGGCCTGGTGCCGCCATTGGCGGCTGCTCCTCCGTCAGCAGGGGCGGTCCCTCCACCACGCTCTG